GTTCAGGGTTTAGGGTTCGGATTGAAGGCGGGGACACGGGGTTCAATGCAAATTCCAACACATTTGCCCTCGCGACAGTGCTTCCGCCACAGTGCGACGTGCACATTTTGGTGTGCTTGCGCTCCTGTTGCAGTCCCTCGTTTTGGTCTTCCAGCCGCTCGAAGTCGCTAAAGTCCAGTCAGAGCCACAGTATTCGTGCAGATTTCGGCTGTGAAGCCTGCGGCCATGCCCACAACTCTTTCCTTCAGACGCCAAACCCTGCGCAACCCTGATTTCGGGGCCTGAACAAAAAGAATCGAGTTTTGCGGCATAGTATCTGATCTAAACTTCTAAACTCATCCTCAGCGCTAAGTATACAGAAACCCAGAAAGGCCTGCATAACTGGGACCCGACAGCCACAACAAAGAAGCGCTAAGCAGATTAAGGCACCCCAAAGCAAAATATAACCTGTTTTTTGAAGAAGCAACACCCTGAAACGTAATAAAACTCCAGATCCAACAAAAGTAGGAATTGACAAATCCTTGAGCAATGAAATCCGGGACCCCCCCCCCCCCCCCCCCGCCCCGCCGAGAGAACGACCAACACCGAGCGAACCCCACCACCACACAAAGCGCTTCAGAACCTAAGAAACTCGATGAAACCTGAAACCCGACAACACATAAGACACCCTATACCACCCTTTTAAGACATTTTGAAAGGTGGGTTTTCGGCTCCTTCGATGTGCCGGAGAACGAGCTCACGCTCGTGCAAACGGCCTGGAGCCGCGCAGCCAAAACGGCGCATGGACGCTTGGAGAGCTTTGTATTATAGGGGGTTTAGGGTTCAGGTTTTAGNNTTTAGGGTTAACTGTATAGGGTTTAGGGCTTGGGGTTCCTTTAAGGTTTCGTTTGAGGTTATATAGGCTTGATGCCTGCAGGGTTTCGGGGTTCAAGGTTTAGGGTTGTGAGTTCCCGGTTTAGGGTTCACAGTGTGTGGGATAAAGAGATTTTGGATTTGTCAGAAGCAGGGGCCCCTTATTTGGGGTCCTCATCGTGCGGATCATACGGAGTCTTTTGTCTCGGATCCTACTATGAAGGGCCGGCAGAGAAGTCCGTTCTCTTGCATTTCTGAACATCCCATGTGGCGGGCCGCAAATCAAAGCCTGTATTGGGCTTCTGCATGTGGTTCGGGTGATAGAGGGCAAAGTAGGCAGGCGGCAGGCCAGGGCAGGGCAAGGCAAGGGAGAGCAAGGGGGGCAAAGGGCCGGACAGGGCAAGAGACAGCACAGCGCAGCTACCCTAGAAACTCTGGCAAACGCTAAACCCTAAAAACCTTAAACACCCTAACCCTGAACCCGGAACCACTGAGTCACTGAACCCTAAACCTGGAACAACTGAACCCTAGACTCTAAACCCTGTAGCCCAAAGCACTTAAAGGAGCCCGTAAAGTAGCTTTAGACCCTAGAAATCCTATGCACAAGCTCCACGTCAGCCCCCTGAGGGCTTGGAGGGTCAAGGGTTTGTGGGTTTGGTGTCTAGGGTTTAGGGTTTAGGGTTTAGGTTTGGGGTGTAGGGTTTAGAGGTCCAGAGTCTGGAGTTGTTCAGGGTTTAGGCTAAGGTTCGAGGAGGAGAAGCCGCCCTAGACACTTTGGTCCCTAGGAACACCAAAACCCTGAACCCCGAAACCCCAAATCCAAAACCCAAAACCGCAAAACCCCACAAAACCCGAAGCTTTCCAAGGACTCTTGGGCCAGAACTCCTCGATGTTACCGTTTCGGTTGCTGCGATTGGCGGTGGACAGGGCGGAGGAGGCGCCTGTCTGGGAAGTAAAGGGGGTCGGAATAGTCAAGAATAGTAGTCATAATAATAATTGTTTCAGTGGTAGTCACAGTCATTGTACGGACAGTAAGAATAGCAATAATACTGTTAAGAATAAGAAAAAGAATAAGAACAAGAATACTTATACGAGTGTCCCTTGTCATAGTCCGTATCCAAGACTGCTTCAGTTTAATTTCCAAAAGCCTTAATCTATGGGGCCCTCATTATGGCTTGCTATGAGCCAGGCGATGTCCAGCAACCTCTTCATGGCTCCGGACGTCTGCAGCGGCGGGATGCAGCTCTGGAACATGACGTCAGGCGCACTCAGAGTGTAGGGGCCTGAATAATCACCTATGCTTTTTTGTTTTGTTTTGTTTTTCTCCCCAACAGCGAAGCGATGGGGTCTTCAGCCCTTGGGTTTTGGTTCCGGAGCGGGTTCCGCAGCGGGTTCCGGAGCAGGTTCCGGAGCGGGTTCCGGAGCAGGTTCCGGGTTCCGGAGCGGGTTCCGGAGCAGGTTCCGGAGCGGGTTCCGGAGCGTTGGGAGCAGGTTCCGGAGCGGAGCGGGTTCCGGAGCGGGTTCCGGAGCAGGTTCCGGAGCGGGTTCCGGAGCAGGTTCCGGAGCGGGTTCTGGAGCGGGTTAGGGAGAAAGAAAAAATTCCGGAGCAGGTTCCGGAGCGGGTTCGGCGTAGCGGGTTCCGGAACGGGTTCCGGGTTCAAGAGCATGTTCTGGAGCAGGTTCCGGTTCCGGAAAGTTCCGGAGCGGGTTCCGGAGCAGGTTCCGGAGTGGGTTCGGGAGTGGTTCCGGCACGGGTTCCCCGCGCTTTCTGCAGCGGTTCCGCAGTGGTGGTTTCGTGGTATTCGAGACGTTGCAGCGTGGGTCTAACAGATGTTTCATGTGGTTTCGTGTGGCCAGCCGAGTACTCGAGATGGTTCATGTGTTTGGCGTGGCCAGCGTGGTGCTCGAGATGTTTCATGCCGTTTCCTGTGGCCAGGGTGCAGGGTTGCGTTCGAAATGTTTCATGTGGTTTCGTGTGGGCAGTGTGGTAATCGAGATGTTTCAAACGGATTCAGCGTGGTAATCGAGATGTTTCATATGTTTTCGTGTGGCTTTTGTGGTACTCGAGATGTTTCTGGTGGTTTCGTGTGGCGCGCATGATAGGAGACGTTCATGTGGTTTCGCATGGCCAGTGTAGTACTCGAGATGTTTCATCTGGTTGCTCGAGATGTTTCATGCGGTTTCCTGTGGCCAGTGTGGCAGACGAGATGTGTCATGTGGTTTCCTGTGGCCAGCGTGTTACTCGACATGTTCATTTGGTTTCGTGTGGCCAGCGTGGTGCTCGAGATGCTTCATCTATTTTGTAGGGCCAGCCTTTGCTATTTGAGTTTCATGTGGTTTCGTGTGGCCAGCGTGGTGCTCGAGATGTTTCATGCGGTTTCGTGTGGCAAGTGTGGTATTCGAGATGTTTCATGTGGTTTCGTATGGCCAGCGTGGTACTCGAGATTGTTCATGTGGTTTCGTGGGGCCAGCGTGCTACTCGAGGTGTCAGATGTGCGCGGTGCCAGGGTGGTACTCGAATTGCTTCCGGCCACGAGCTGGCTTCGCCAGAACGTTCCCCGGACGTGGTTGACACGCCAATCAGCCGCAACTATCATAGCGTAGAATAAAAAAGGACTGGGACTAGAGAAGATGATGGAAAAACCTCCCGCAGACTACTACTATGATATGCTGCGGCAGATCTGCATGGTCCCCATCCGGACGCCTGCCTTCAACTGACAGACCATTTGGCCTCTTTAGAGGCGTTTTTGGACAAATCCATCTGTTCGGCTTCTCCTTCGGCGATAATAATGCCGAGGTGTGCGTCACCGAAGGAAAACGTTTCTTGGTCACAACATCGTGCGGAACGGCAGCTCGCATGATACGGAAAGGTGCCAAGCGGTGGTTGACCTTTCACCTCTCAAAGAGAAACTCCACAGCCAGCAGTTTTTGGATTGCGCTAATAGGTTACGTGGATACCTACAAGCAGAATACGGACATGCGGCCAAAGTGCTGGGGTAGTGGCAAAATGCCTGGGGCGGAGTTCCCCCCAAAAGCGGGTTGGGATCAGCCGCCACTGCCATGTGTAAGGTGTCCACGTGAGCAGATCGCGGATGCGTTTTGCATCGCGATAGGTAGGTGGCACTGTGCTGCAGATTTTGCGGGATCTTCGCCGCGCGCCGACGTGACCTCAGAGCACCTTTTGATCAGGAGCCAACGCGGCACATAAACATAAGGATCTCACTAAACAGTGTCTTCGCCTCCATTCCTTGTGGATAAGCATTCGTACGCAGTGCTAGTTGGCGGTACATAGACAGAATTTGCGCCCTAGAGGATATTTTATTGTAGCCGAATCAATGTCCTTGGGAGGAAGAAACTGCTGCAAGTAGCTGCTGTCAGTAGAGTTCTATACGTAGTGCTGTAACAGTGGCTAGACATACTCAGGAAGTGCAA